TGCTGGCCTCTACGCCGGCCTAAGGCACGTTCAAGCGAGCCATTCGGAAGGTGAAGCTACCTTGTTACTGTTGCTTGGGGAACAACTCCCATGTCAGTCACTCGGAACAAACTTCCGGAGTGGTCTCTTTTTGGCTGCCCAAAACTACCCGCGCATGTCCGGTAAAAAGCAACTTGCCCGCTGTCTGCGTGGCTAAAAAAGGGTGGACCCCCCTTTCTGGTTTGAAAAGGGGCTAGCCTTTGACCAGTCCAAGACGGAGAAATGCTTGGTTTCTGTTTGGTTTCCCCTGGAGAAAAAAAAAGTAAACAAAATGGCTGAGGTTTGCCTTGGAACATTCTGCTTCTCAATTCGGTCCCCCGTATCACTGGCGAAGCTGGGACCACCGCCGGGTAGTGGTAAAACTTCGATGGCGCTCCGCCCACGCTGTCGCCTCACGCGAGACCGCAGAAGGTACCGCGAATGGACAGGTGATGGACAGAATCCACCAAGTCCTTTGGTTGTTGCGTGTTTCATGACATTCCGGTTCCACACTTGGCCCACCAGCGATGACGTCTCTGCTGACATTGTTTTACCGTTTTGTTTTCCAGTAGCCATGGTTAGTTCACATGTCCTGTAAATGGATTGCGAGTGAGTCTACGCGTCTTAGTACCTGGGTTTTGGGCCCGGGCTCGGTGACCCCTCACCAGTTGGTGCTTTATCCCAGGTGTTGGGTTTCATCCATCCCAGGCGCCGATCGGCGCGGATTCTGCATATGACCCTTTGACTTGGTGCGCAGTGGTCGCAGGAACCCCGACCAAGACCGTCTTGGAGCTACTGAATAAGGGGAGATTCCTGGCATAACCTTCCAATCAAGGACTGGTGTCATGTATATCTGGCTGGGCGGTCCAAAATAGGTCGCAAGTGAATACGTATTGCCACCCCATGCCTCGTATTGATATACGACCTATAAATCGTCATGCACGGTGTGTGGTTTGCAAGTAAATTAGATTGCCTGTGGGTACACCCGGGCCTGTACCTGACATTCTCCCCGTCGTCAAATCCAAAATGTGCCAAAAGCACGGCGAAAGAGGCAGCCTCCAAAAGGGGGGAAAACCAGAATCTCCACTTCGAGGCATGCTCCATTTGGAGCTCACTGGAAGCATCGGCAAAACCTCTTGCACACTGTGTCCTTCTTGTTTGTTGATGTGGGTGAAGGGCTTCAGAAACCCAGTAGGCTGCATCCCAATCCCAATCGCCATGGTGTAAGCGTGTAAGCCGAAGCATGCATGGAAAGGTGGCACCAAAGACAGCGCTTGCTTCAAGTCTCTGTGACCCAAGGCACAGCCTAACGGGAAAGCCCTGGCCACAAGATCGCAAACAGCTTGTCCTATGAGCTGCTAGTACCTTGTAGCTTGTGACACCAAAAGGATTCGCCACGGAAAAAACTTGGCCCTTTCTGACAAAGGAAAGCCAAGCACGACATTGCATGCGTTGAGACCATAGCTCAGTTTGGGTTCCTGCAGGTTTCGCACGCCACGTTGAGGCACGGCCAATACAATTTCATGTTGCCCGGGTTTTCGGATGTTGCAGGCTCCCCTTCTCATGCGATGTTCCTTCCTATTCTTATTCTCCGGGAAACCAAAAGGACCTCTTGGACCAACTCCCTACGGTCCCCTTCTCATGTTCTTCTTTGTTGTGTTTTGTTTTTTTTTGCGGGGAAAACCACAAAAGCCACCTTCGCGGCCCGAGAAGAATGTCTCCCGGCTCAAGTCCCTGCGAGCGCTCGACTCGCTCCTTCCACAAAGTCCGGCAAGACCAGCGTAGCCTCCGGGGGCCTCGGAGCTCGCTCCGCGCTCCGAGCTGCGAGCTGCGCAGAGAAATTTCCGCGAGTGCCCAAGGTACAAGCGCAGCCGCGCAGCTCAAGCGGCTTTTTGTCTTTCTTTCTTTTTCACCCGTGCTTCTTGAGTTTGTTCGGGAGAGTACGCAAGCTTGTCCATAGCTTTGTGCGACTTACATGATAAAAACCAGGGGGTCCCTGGCCCTTCAACATTACCACACCCAAAGGACACTGCCTGCAAACCAAACCAAATGCTGATGTTTAAAACCACCCTTCGTCTTCCGAGGGAAAGAAAATTCAAGCATGATGTGGCAGAGATCGCACTCGAATTCAGTCAGCAAAGGCCCCACATCTTCAAAGAACGCATAAACCATGGTCAACATTATTGATGCCCCGAAGTGACTGACCCTGTTGGTTGTGGCCCTTGCGGTGAGCGTTTTCTACGTCCCCCCCACCCATTTTCCTGTGCAACAAATGATCGATCCATAGTGGCTGTTCGCAACGCAACTCAGAGCGGTTGCAATTTTCGACTTGTGCAACCCCAAAAGGACATGGGACATGTTGTTTGATCTTGTTAGGGCCCCCTGTTCATGCGGATATTGGGTTGATGTGCTCCCCAACAAACCAACCACCACTAGTCTCGTCTCAGTAGGATATGCTCATCCCCCTCGCATGTGGTTTCTCAAGTACCGGATCCGAGTTTGTCTCAAAACCGGAGAAAGTGATCTTATGAAGAGGTAGGATCCCTCCCCTTTCGCTTGGGAAGCCTCAAACCGGTCGCCACGCCTCCAACAACAATCCACATCCCAGACCTCCCCTGGCCGCGGTGAAAAAGGGTACCTGTCTTTTGGTGCTCAGCTTTACGGGGCTTTCAACCCCTCCCAAATCAGTTGAACAGGATGCCTCCTCCCAAAAAAAGGAGCTAAGCGCTCCACAAACATAAAAAGGCAGCCCAAAAAAGACCGCCCTTGGGCGTTCAACATCGTTTCCCCTAAAAGAAGTCCCAAAAAAAAACGCGCCCAGGGCATCCCCCAGCGCCCCATCTATCCTCGGGTCCGGCTGTCTCCTTCGGTTCGGGGAGCCCCGCGCGGCCCAGCTGGGGCGAAGCTGCACGCTGGGCACCTTCAGCTGCTGCACAGCCTCGGTTGGGGAAATTCCACCCCTCCATCCAGGGGTGCCAAGGTACATACCCCTTTTACATACCCCTTGGACAAATGAACCCAAAAGGCCTGCTGATGTTCCTACCCCTCTCCCCAAAAGGGGTATATGAAAAAAATGGATGAACAAGGGGTATGTACTTCCACCCTTAGACTGTAGCTGGATGCTTTGCTAGAGCCCCTTCCGGGTTCCTTGGGTTCTTTAGGGTTTTTGGGGAATCCCTTGGACCACCCTTTGCCCGTAGCGACTCTTTTGGGGATCCCGCACGGTGGACCATTCGAACAAAACCCAGAGAAAATCCTGAGCGAGGCCTTAGGGTTTTGAAGCCTTTGGGGTTTTCGGATCTCTTTCAGGAGCCCACAAAACGCATGGTCTCATCAGGGTAATTCCCTCAATTCCTGGTGCCTGCAGCATGCCCAAAAATGTGTGCTTCGTGGGATTTTTACTGTTCAACCAGAAAGTGGGTTGAAGATCCAAGCAGCCAAGCACCAAGGGTCCTTCCTTGCCACAGGTGCACTCAGAAGCGTTCTCAACCAGAAATGGGCACAGTGGGCCACAGACAGAAGAAAAATGTGGGTCCTTCGTTGTGTAAACATTTCAGGCTCTCAAAATGGTCATGGGTCAAAATCCCGAACCCCCAGAAAACATCCCAATCCCCACTAAAATAGGTTCTAACATGGGTGGTGTACCTACCCCAAAATGGTACCATTGGTTTTGACTCCACCGCCAAAAGACTTTCGGCTGCCAAACCATCCTTCTCTGATCCTCTCCCATCCGCTCACACCTTCACTTGCGGGCAGCTCAATGGGTGAGCACGCATGAAGAGCGACGCATGTTTCTCTCTCACTTCTCCTTTCCCCAAACCTTCCTAATGGAATGCCTGAGGGAAGAGAAAAGGGGAAGAGATGCCATCCACTCCCGCTCCCATCTAAAAGATGAGTGATGATCAGTATGTTCAATACACGGATTCAATCGGAAAAGGGGGGGAGAAAAAAAGAAAAAAAACGAAACATTTATTGGGAACTCCGGTTCACACTGGCCAGGCTGCCACACTCCTGGCACGCCCAAACATCCCAGGAGTCAAATGACAGAACTCCGCGAACAGGAATACAAAGCTGGGGGAAATTCACTCGAAAAACCAACACCGACACTCCTGAGCCAGGCCCGACACAAAAACTCAGTTGCCCAAAGCACCCAGAAACAAAAGGTTCACCTTTTGGCACCTTTACTGCAGATGGAGCAAAATGGGGAAACCAGAAAGTCAAAAGGTTGGTTTTGGGCAACTGAGAAAAGGGAAACAAAAAGAACGACCAACCATGTAGGGGACTGCTGGCAACAGGCAGCTGCTCAGGCCCCGGCCGTCGCCATGGCTGCTGCAGAAAGCGTATGCTCGATCCAAGCAGCAGATACCACTGATTCAATCCAAGCGTCCCAAGCTCCGGTGTCACCGGGGGGGGGGGGGGGGCAAGCGCATGGTAAAAAGGGGCACCCTGCACCAAAAAACCAGCAAGAAACCAGCTCTTGCAGAGGGTTCTCAGCTGGGTCAGGGTCCCTGCACCAAGAAGAGGTTCTTGAGAAAATGTTAGCTTCAGAAACCCTCAATGCATGACCCTGCTTGCTACATGTCAACCGCCCTTGCCAGAGAGAAAAACCGCGGGCGACAGAGATCCGACAGAAAGCCGGCAAGCGAGGTTTTCTTCGCAGCCAAAAGACAAGTGTCCGACTCTACTCCGGTGTTGCTTCGCTACCTTTAGACGCGAATTCACGGTCGCTTGCTGTGTAGGCTAGCGAGCAGGGGCCACTGCTTGGGCCATTGCAAAAAGGCAGATGCTAAGAAGCATTCAGCCAACATGCAGCAAGGTGCTTGCAAACTGAATTCCAAAGCCAATCACTGGCGCTCTATGCAGAAAAACGAACAAAAGGATGAGGAACAGTCAAAGTTACGAAGGTTAACCCAAGACATTGCAAAGTGAGTCGGTTTTTGCAGGTGTTGTTGGTTGAAACCTCAGGTGAGTGCCCCCCTGTTCCGAACCCCAAATTGAACCATTGACTAGTGGAACTTTTTGACTGCACCTCCTATGAGCACATCGCTCAGATGTGCAGTTCCTGAAGCCTCCGATCATCATCCCAGATTCCGTCGTCGTCGTCGTCTTCGTCGTCATCTGAGCCAGTAAAGGTGGAGCCAATGGTCCCCACCTTGATCTTACCTGGTCTTGGACAGTTGAGTTAGTTGAGTCAGTTGACTTGTTGAATTCATGCTCCAACAAGTTGCTCCCGTCGTGGAACCCACCAGAGAAACAGCACCTTTCAAAGGAAAATTGCCTTCCAGGCTGGAAGGACAAAGGTTAAAAGTCACACTAAAGGTTCGCCAAGTCACTGTACTTGACCCGAGCCTCAGCATACTTCTCGCGGAGGTACGCCGGCAAGCCGGTGTCTGTGGCGCAGGGGCCACGGCTGACACCGGGGATGGAGGGGTCCTTGTTCAAGGGATAGTCAGAATCCAGCCACAACATGTTGGCCTCCTCATCATCCCAAAGCGACATCACCAGCACCATACCCCGGTCCAAAGCCTCTCCCATGGCCTTCAAGCCACCCTTCCGAGTGAAGTCGTCGATGTCCCCAAAGGCCGACTTCATGTCCGCGCAGACCTTGTCGGTGACCGAATTGCCCGACACCCCGGCCAGCGACACGTTGGAGTTCGGGATGACTTTGCCATCCTGCACATAGAATCGGCGGATGTCGATGAGGTCCCCATCATCTGTGTTGCCCTCAGTGATGAACTGGGTGACAACGGTCATCTTCTTCCGGGCGTTCAGCTCAAAGTCCTTGCCCCGGCCATAGAAGTCCCTGGCACCGAGACGATAGGAATTGAAATCACAGCCATCCTTGTCGCAGACACCATCGTAGCGCTCCTCCTTGGCGTTGTCGCCACAGTCTACCCCCTCGCAAACATAGACTCCGGTGAAGGAGCAAGGGTGGGGCGTGTAGGCCGTGGCCTTGCTATTGGCCTCCCAAATGTCCATCTCGGCGCAGCAAGCTCCCCACTTCCCGATGGGAGGGGTATGGCTGGCGTTCCACCCCACGACATTGGCCTTGCCCTGCATGAACTTCATATCGTGCGGGCACTGCGCGTCGCAGTATCCGGTGCCATACTTGGCACCCGCCTTGCCATGTGGATAGACGTTTGCGCACCCCTTTGGGCGGGTACAACCAACGACTCAAAGGGCCGGGAACTTTTTTTTACTTTTGAAAGCGCCCTGTGATTCTTGTGCTTTGTTCTGGATTTCTGGCAAAAGTCTTCCAGAGAGCATCCAGCTGGTGATCTATGACTCACATCCAGCCCTCAAAAACTTCTTAAACCAACCAAACCAAGCCAAACGAATCCAAACCAAACCAACCCGATCAAATCCAAACCAAACCAAGCCAATCGAATCCAAACCAAACCAAGCCAATCAAATCCAAACCAAACCAAGCCAATCGAATCCAAACCAAACCAAGCCAATCAAATCCAAACCAAACCAAACCAAGCCAATCAAAACCAAACCAAGCCAATCGAATCCAAACCAAACCAAGCCAATCAAATCAAAACCAAACCAAGCCAATCGAATCCAAACCAACCAAGCCAATCAGATCCAAACCAAACCAAGCCAATCAAATCCAAACCAAACCAAGCCAATCGAGTCCAAACCAAACCAAGCCAATCGAATCCAAACCAAGCCAGACCAAACGAATCCAAACCAAGCCAGACCAAACGAATCCAAACCAAGCCAATCAAATCCAAACCAAACCAAGCCAATCAAATCCAAACCAAACCAAACCAGACCCAAACCAAGCCAGACCAAACGAATCCAAACCAAGCCAGACCAAACGAATCCAAACCAAGCCAGACCAAACGAATCCAAACCAAGCCAATCAAAACCAAACCAACCAAGCCAATCAAATCCAAACCAAACCAAGCCAATCAAATCCAAACGAAACCAAGCCAATCGAATCCAAACCAAGCCAGACCAAACGAATCCAAACCAAGCCAGACCAAACGAATCCAAATCAAGCCAGACCAAACGAATCCAAACCAAGCCAGACCAAACGAATCCAAACCAAGCCAAACGAATCCAAACCAGGCCAGACCATCCAAACCAAGCCAGACCAAACGAATCCAAACCAAGCCAGACCAAACGAATCCAAACCAAACCAAGCCAATCGAATCCAAACCAAGCCAATCAAATCCAAACCAAACCAAGCCAATCAAGTCCAAACCAAACCAAGCCAATCAAATCCAAACCAAACCAAGCCAATCGAATCCAAACCAAGCCAGACCAAACGAATCCAAACCAAGCCAGACCCAAACCAAACCAAGCCAAGCCAATCAAATCCAAACCAAACCAAGCCAATCGAATCCAAACCAAGCCAGACCAAACGAATCCAAACCAAGCCAGACCAAACGAATCCAAACCAAGCCAGACCAAACGAGTCCAAACCAAACGAATCCAAACCAAGCCAGACCAAACGAATCCAAACCAAGCCAGACCAAACGAATCCAAACCAAGCCAGACCAAACGAATCCAAACCAAGCCAGACCAAACGAATCCAAACCAAGCCAGACCAAACGAATCCAAATCAAGCCAGACCAAACGAATCCAAACCAGGCCAGACCAAACGAATCCAAACCAAGCCAGACCAAACGAATTCAAACCAGGCCAGACCATCCAAACCAAGCCAGACCAAACGAATCCAAACCAAACCAACCCGATCAAATCCAAACCAAACCAAGCCAATCGAATCCAAACCAAACCAACCCAATCAAATCCAAACCAAACCAAGCCAATCAAATCCAAACCAAACCAAGCCAATCGAATCCAAACCAAGCCAGACCAAACGAATCCAAACCAAGCCAATCAAATCCAAACCAAACCAAGCCAATCAAATCCAAACCAAACCAAGCCATTCGAATCCAAACCAAACCAAGCCAATCGAATCCAAACCAAGCCAGACCAAACGAATCCAAACCAAGCCAGACCCAAACCAAACCAAGCCAAGCCAATCAAATCCAAACCAAACCAAGCCAGACCCAAACCAAGCCAGACCAAACGAATCCAAACCAAGCCAGACCAAACGAATCCAAACCAGGCCAGACCATCCAAACCAAGCCAGACCAAACGAATCCAAACCAAGCCAGACATCCAAACCAGGCCAGACCATCCAAACCAAGCCAGGCCAAACGAATCCAAACCAAGCCAGACCAAACGAATCCAAACCAAGCCAGACCAAACGAATCCAAACCAAGCCAGACCAAACGAATCCAAACCAAACCAAGCCAATCAAATCCAAACCAAACCAAGCCAATCGAATCCAAACCAAACCAAGCCAATCGAATCCAAACCAAGCCAGACCAAACGAATCCAAACCAAGCCAGACCCAAACCAAACCAAGCCAAGCCAATCAAATCCAAACCAAACCAAACCAGACCCAAACCAAGCCAGACCAAACGAATCCAAACCAAGCCAGACCAAACGAATCCAAACCAAGCCAGACCAAACAAATCCAAACCAAGCCAGACCAAACGAATCCAAACCAAGCCAGACCAAACGAATCCAAACCAAGCCAGACCAAACGAATCCAAACCAGGCCAGACCAAACGAATCCAAACCAAGCCAGACCAAACGAATCCAAACCAGGCCAGACCAAACGAATCCAAACCAAGCCAGACCAAACGAATCCAAACCAGGCCAGACCAAACGAATCCAAGCCAAGCCAACGCCCCCGCCTTGTTGTTGCCCCCAGACTTCTCCGCATTGGCCTTGCCCCCGTCCGCGTCCATCTCCACAAAGTAGACCGCGCCGTTGAGGCCGCAGGGCATGTAGTACATGTCCACCGTCAGGGTGAACTCTCGGTTCTTCAGCTTGAAGACCTGAAGTCTTTTTGGCCCAGCCGGAGCCACTGACTGCTCCAGCGAACACCCGCGCCCAAAGGGAAGCGAAAGCTTTCAATCCGTGGGGGGGAAACAAAGAAGTGAAGGGGGCAAAAGCGGGCCGTTGGTTCCAGCCAGATACAAACCGGGGGGGCAACAACATTGGTTCCAAGAGTTTAGCCCTACCATGACTATTCCCCAGTGACACCCCCGTTTCAAGCTGATTAATTCGGGGGTTCAGAGTACGGCACATGTGTTAAGTCGACCCTGGAAAGGATCTGAGAGAGCTTAAGCATGGAATAACCCACTGCTGACTTCACATCAATTCATTCGTGATTAAGTTCACCCAAGGCTTTGTTGGTTGTAGCAGACTTTGGTTTGAACAGCGTAGTGGATGGTCTCCTTTAAAAGGGGGCTGCATGGCAACTGCTCGTTTCTTTTCCCGTGTTGCAGGGTAGCAATCAAAAACAAGACCAAGGTGAAGAGTTGTAGCAGAAGGAAACATCGCTCAGGAGACATCGCTTTTTTCCAAGGATTCCCTTTCTTTCCAACCTTGAAAAGTCACTTTTAGGGAAACTTACCCCCAATGGAGCCGAAGAGGTGATGCTGAAAACCTCCCTTAAACGGGGCACATCGAGTCGGACCCTGCAAAAACAA